TGCTCCAGGGGGTCCCCTGGGGCAGCGCAGGGCTTTTCCCACACCCAAGCTACCTAGCTGGCAGCAGGGAAGGACTCCAGAGGCAGCCAGCCCCGGGCTGTGAGGTTTATTAGGATGGTTTCAGCCTGCCCCAACCAAACCCGAGCACACAGCTGCGCAAAGAATGCCCTCACCAAACACAACGCTTTATTTCTGCGGAAAACAAGGTACTTTCCAGGAAGGACCAGCTTATGAAACAGCAGTTTGCATGTTAACGCACATAAATACGCAGGGTTACAACTGGGTGGGAAATAGGTATAAAAAAAAAAAAGCATTCAAGTACACAAAAGAAATGTAGTAAAATGGGACTATCCCTCCTGCACACCGGCCTCGGGGAGAAACGTTCCTCAAAGGGAACGAGCCTCCCACCCACCGTCTGCCAACGCGGGCTGCGGGAGGGCGAGAGGACGGGCAGGGCCGGAGGGTTACTCCAGTGTTTGGGAACAAGAGCAGACCTACCCACAGTTCAGCCCCCGTTCTCTCAGCCATCAGGATGCGTGTCGTGTGCCGACCGCCCAGCCAGCCCGTTAGGAGAGCTGCAAGAGGTAGGAATTACCTCCTTGCTCCCACCTCCGGGTCCCTGGAAGGCTAATGCTGTACAACCTCGTTACCCACGACGCTGTGGAAATGCCGTGCCCCTGGGAGGCATTTATCAACACTCACAGAAAGGAGAGCACGGCGCTGCAGTCACGGCACCGGCACTGCCAGGCAGTAAACGCGGCCAACGGACACAGAGTTTACGGAAAAAACGCTGCTGGATGCTGCATTTTTACGGAAAAAACGCTGCTCGTTAGTAGGAGTAACATCTACAGATATGGAAGGATAGCACAAATCCTCACAGCCTTCCTGAAGATTTTCCTGCCAAGACACCGTCAACAGCAAATTCATAGCATCACTGGGATAAAACACCAGTTTGAATGGATCTCAGACACGTGCCATGTGCAGGAAGCCAAAAGGTCGATCTTTACGTTACAGACCTTAATCCTTCTCCTTTTTGCCCGACAGGAGTTTAGAGACCTGCTGCATCACTAAACCCGTTTATAAAATTTTACAAACCCAGGCGTAAAACTTAACTCAGTCTCCAAGAGAGAAGGAAAAGGCATCAGAATAACAGATACTCCCCGATCTGGTCCTGCACGCGCTCGTGTCAAACCTGGTAAAGTAAGTGGCCCATGTCCCGCCCCGAAGCCAGGCGACGGCAGAGATCCCACGCTTCACTTCAGCTACTGCAAGTGCAAAGGGCAATTCAAGTTTTCCTAACAGGCCCCAAGACAAAAAAAAACCCCAACGTTTGCAAAAATGGAAACATTTAAAACCCTTTAAACAATTTAAATCAGGACAGTTCCTACCGGAACGCGACATATTTTACACGTTTAAAAAAACAAGGAGCTCGGGTTATTAAATAAGAATCTACATATCTTAAAAACGGGGAGGTTTTTTTACATTACAGCCAGAAGTGTCCTATCTCCCAAAGC